TCTTATAATAAGCAACATACGTGCTTAGTTTGGAAAAAGGCAAAGCTTGTTGTAGATCGAGTGTAAGAACCTAAATGTTTTGATCGGCTACATTTTTATCTTTGTTAAGCAAATCTCTCGCTAGTTTTGCATATCTTCGTCATCATCATCATCTTTGGCTCGACAATCCTCTGTTGATCTTGGCCTGCTCTAAGATTCGTCGCCATTCTGTTCGGTTTTTGGCAACATGTTGCCATGTTCTGATTTTTAATATTCGTAAGTCGGTTTCTACTCCATCTCACCACCTAATTCGCGGTCGGCCTTTACTTCTTTTTCCTACAGGTATTCCTGTGGTTAGCTTTTTAGCAATTGTATTTTCTGGCATTCGTATTATGTGTCCAGCCCATCTAAGTCGCTATGTTTTAATGAACGTTATGACATCTGGCTCATCGAAGAGATGATACAATTCACAATTATATCTTCTGCGCCACTACCCTTGGTCGTTTACAGCTCCAAATATTTTGCGGAGTATTTTACGCTAAAATATTGCCAAAAGTGCATATCTTCGTCGTTATTCCCAAATCTGATGGTATTTTACAAAAAATCGCATAACTGACAGATATCTTTAGATAGAGGCTTGAAGTGAAGGTTTGAAGTGGGAATTTGATGAAAAAACATGATGGTATGTACATTTCCTTTCATTTCCTTTGACTGGTTCTGAACTTCCTTGTTCGCATTTCTCTTAATAAAGTTGATACATCTTTCTAATATTTAAATCTGGATTTACATATTTTCTATCTAGAGCACCACAAAGTGTATAATGGCTCTTATAGAAGGAAATGACTTGATGTGTTCCTTGACTTTCGTGACATCAATTTTATTGGTTGGTTCTTTGTGACCGCTTGGTTATATTTAAGAAGCTGGCCTAGTGCTACAAGACAGTTTATAGATACGCCCCTCATTCACTTGAAAGGTATCTTTAAAAAAATTCTTACACACACAAATGAACATGACTAGTAGTTAAGTTATGCTTTATTGATTTTAATGTTAACCCATTAGTGCTCAGAACTAAAAAAGTTTTAATGTTGTAAATTTTTTTATAGATTTTATTACAAATAGTGTTACATATTTACTAAAAAATACATAAAAAATTCAAGGTCTGTCAAAAGGTTGTCAAAATGAGTGGCAACTTTAGTTGCCACTGAGCGCTTACGGTTTGGTAATAACCAAAAATTTTCTATGTAATAGAAATGTATTAAAAACTAATCGTACTTTAACAAAACTAGAGATATATATTATGGAAATTATTTATGGAAAGTTTCAAAGCAAGTCACATGTAGGGGTACATTACATTTATTACCCAAGTATGTTGTTCTTCTTTGATACATTTTCTGCGGTACTTTGAGTCTCCTTTCGCGATAATGTGATTTTTTTGTCCGTTCGTAGATCTTCTAAAACAGCGGAAGTGGAAAACGATGTATGCGGCCCGGGTTTAGTTGAAGAACATTCATATTTTATAAGAAGCTGTAATACTACTTGTCTTCTAAATTGCAAGTATGGTAATTCGTGACCTAGAAGCCTATATAGAAGCCAACCTTGAACACAACATTCTCAACACCTCCTATATTAGAATTCTAGTGGGAAATGGCATCAGGCATTTCTGTATTTCAAACCGCTGAACATTTTTAAACGGCACTTCTGTGTGGCAGTTGTGTGCTGTAACAGTATTATAATTCCATCTAATGGCTGTTAGCTTTCCATTAGATGTGAAATGTGTCGTCCCTCTATCACATTTCTTGAAAGATTCTTTCGAAGGTAAATTCATCCACCTTGCTATTCTATTTTCTCGCACTGTTCCAGTTCTTCCCAAGGCTCGTTTAGACAGTTCTTCAAGTAAGGAGACAGAAGTGAATAAATTGTAAAAATATAATTTAGTCCCGCTAGGAACGTTGGCATATTTAACAAGTCGTAGTACTACATTTCCTTCTTGTCCGAGTCCAGTATCAGGAAGCTTTGTATGTGCACGGCAGTATGGTTCAGCATGAGACACAAATCCATTAGGGCTTGCTAAAACCCACAGTTTAAACCCAAAACAAATAGGTTTGCCCCGTATAAAGTGTTTTGTAGGATGACGTCCATAATACGGGACTATGTTCTCATCTATAGCAACTGAATTTCCAACTGGTACTTGCTTGAATGAATTCTTTAGATAATTAAATGGAGGGCGGACCTTGTAAAACCTGTCAGTGTTTACCTTTAGATGGGACGAGTTATGATTTAGATGGAGATATCGTAATATATCCTCAAATCGACGTCTTCGCATTGCTTCTGCAACTATATCTACCTTGCAGTCAAGTTCATTTTGCCAATACATCCGCTTACTCGGCAGGTGGTGGTAACCAGATAATAAGATTATTCCCAAGAAGACAGAAATTTCATAATAACTTACATTTATTACATTTAAACTATACATTCTCTTTTGTCCGGCATAAAGATTAGTTTGTGTAATGATATGTTCAATTAGAGTATCAGTAAAAAAGCATGAAGTGGAGAATTTAAGTACGTACGTAGTTAAAAGTTTTTGAAAAATTTTATAGTCGATGATCCAGAGGGTACAGTAACGGCAGGTAAATTCCAACTGTTTTCTTTATTTTGAGACCAAACACTGTTTGAAGATGCAATTACTTGGCTGTGGCAAATCAATATTTTTCTCATCCAAACAGATATTTACTGTACTGTTTGAATGACTCTCAACAATTTCCTCATCCAACTCAACAATCGCTTCCGATCTGAGGATTCTACTTGATAAATGATTTGTATTTCCTTCAGTTTCGTTATCTGATAAATCTTAATCTTCGTCAGTATCAGCTTCAGTAGTTTCTATAGGAGGAACTACTACTTCAGACCTGATTCTTTTAAAAAAACTTGATCCATAATATTCTTCACAAGCTTTCATAATTTCATCTACGCTAAATATATTATCCTTAGACCTAAAAGAAAAAAATAAATCATTCTAGTGCTCAGTGGCAACTAAAGTTGCCACGTGAATTTAGGGTACCATAATTATGTTATAATTCAATGAACAGTTAATTTTCTTAGATTAGTATATATAATAAACCTTTGGTTTAAAATGAATTGAGTATGAACACAAAATATTATAAATTAACTTAAAAATACTTACATTGTTTAGGACTAAGTTTGGTTGCTGCAAAACTCTAATATTGAAATAAATATTAACGAGCACCTAACAAGTTTACAAGCAAATTTGTAGGTTATAAATGTGGATACGCTAAAAATTATATACCACTTAAAAATGGGCCACACACAATACACAAGAGATTTTACGGGTGTTGAAAGTCACTGACAACTAAAGTTGCTACTGAGCGATAATGGGTTAATTTACGAATCAGTCCACGAAGATAAATGTTCTGCTTTGTATTGTCAGCTAACTTATAAAATGAGTTAACAATGAGTTGTCGTTATTCGAGTGTTATATTGGAAAAACAAAGTCGTCTACATTTACAATCAACATTTTAAAACGATTTGCCAGGCATATTCTTCCAGTTCCTGTTCACATAAGCTTTTCCACTATAACGTGGAACTGCCTTGACTGTCCGTGTCCACTCTGTTGAATTCCTTCTGCGATTTCTCTCGTTTTTCGGTGATCCTACCATAACGCCCCCTTCATTTTCAATCACATTATTTTCTGCCCTAAAATCATCCGCAGGTAAATTGGAAACATCTATAACAAATTTCAGTGGTCAAAGTGTGTCAGTTAAAAAAAATGTCCATGAATATAATGTAATTACAGTTCCAATAAGATGTTTTATCTGTCGCTTTAGTAATAATTACTATAACATAATATATTAGTTAACGTGGCGAAAAGACATGTTAACAGAACTGAAACTGTACACAAACTAAAAAACCACAAATGTTTATATAACTAGTTTTAATCAAGACTGTGATTTATATTACAGTCAATTCATGCTTTTACAATAATTTCTTTATTCACAAAGATCTACAGGAACTGACTCTAAACTGGTGTATACATTATTCATTTTCATTATTTATTTGTTCGAAATTATAGAAATATATATCGGTGATTCAAATTTCATTGTACATCTTTAAAAACATGCATGCGATGAAATTACGAACATATTTCACATAGATTCCTACCCTTATCTTCTTCTACTTCTTCTTAGTCGTTAACCTGATGCAGGTTCCTCCACGTTTTTCTATCTTCTGCTATTCTAGCACATTCTGACAATGGAGCGCCAATGGTAGCAACAATATGGTCCGTGTATCGTGTGGGAGATCTACCTCTATTTCTTTTGCCTTCTACTTTTCCCTGGATGGTAAGTTTTTCAAGACCTATTCTTCGAAGCACATGTCCAAAATAGCTTATTATTTGTGAAAAAGACAGCAAATATTTGATTTCACGCAAACAGCGCCTTTGTATCTGTTGATACGTATTTCGACCTAATAGGTCTCATCAGAACAGTTATTCAAAGGTATTCTCAACGTGAAAGATCATTATTTTCTGTCCTTTAAGAAGCAAAACTAAAATGGCTTCAATACGGACGCAATAGCGACATCTGACAATAAAACCGTAAAATAGTTTCGAAACATAATTCAGTGTTTAGTAGTAGTTCAGTGTAGTTCAGGAATGCAAATTTTAGATTCCCTACGTTTCTTTTAACACCTTTACCAACGTCTGTTTTGCTTTGCAATTTTTAGAAAGCACAGATAAAAGCGGAAATCTGAATTGTGTTTCGAAGCTATTTTACAGCTTATTATTTGTTCTGATATTTGTGTTCTTAGTCTTTTCTTTTCTACCCACTCTTATAATCCACCTCAATTGACGCACACTATAGCTCTTGTACCTATTATTATAAAATATGTGACATAAAAGTATATTTACATCTTTTGTTTTATTTGAAGTTTTAATTCTCATATGATTATAAAGATAATTCATTCGTGTTTTTAAGCGTTTGATCGTTCTAATTTATTTTTTTCTTCAGGATTTCATTTAAAGAAAATTATAGAAGACACTAAAAATAAAGCGAAAAAACTTGGTGAAAAGAATGGAGTAAAAATGTATTTATACTCAGCTCATGAAAATAACGTGGGAGAGATGATGGTACTTCTTGATGTTTTCAACAATCCTCATGTTCCTCCTTATGGGAGTTACTTGATTTTTGAAGTTCATAACATTAATAACGTTATAGGAATTAAGGTAAGTTGTTTACAATATTACTGATGTAAATGTAGTAATACGACGAGAAAAGAATAATAAAGAGGCAAAAGTCAAATAGAATAATCGGCACAAGTAAAGAGTGGAATCTAACTATACAAAGTCTAAACACGCCATTTACTGAGATTAGAGAAATGCATTGAAATAGATATGCGTGAAAATACACACATGAAACTGAAGATTTAGGAATTTAGAAATTTAGAAATGATTTCCCTATGATCGAAAAACGATAATTTGAAAAACTACAGTCTAAAGAAAAATGTAAAAAAAACTTTCACTTTACATGGTGTAAGAAACCTGTGCATCCTTCAGTATTCCGCACTTTACAACCTAATATTGTAGTAAAATATCTTGGACTAAAAAATGTTCTAAAAATTTATTTTTACAATCTTGAAGAATCACGGATAAAATCATCATAAGCGTTAACAAAGGAAGAGGATACAGAATGGGAAACAAAGAAATAAAAATACTCTGTTACACAGACGATATAATATTGATAGCCCAAGATAAAGATAGTCTGCAAAGACTTGTTAAACAGATCTGTTATGTATGTCTTCAATCTTTTTAATTTCTCTTTAATTTCTATAATGATTTTTTCATTTCCGTCTTTCAAAAGGGCATATGTCTTTTTTCTCAGTGTATTTGTCATTTCCTTTATTTTCTTATGCATGTTAAAGCTATCATACTGTTTAGCATATGCCTCTATTTCACTGCATTGATTAGCAAGCCAGGTGGATTTGGCCTCTTTTATTTTCTGTCCTATCAATCTCTGCAGTTCCTTGTATTTTGCCTTACTCCTGCCTTTATGTTTCCTTCTTTTCTCCATTAGATCTAAGATTTCTGAAGTCATCCATCTCTGTTTTTTTCTTATTTTTGTCTGCAGTAGCTTTTCTTTTGCCTTTATTAAAGTTTCCTGTACTATGTTCCATTTGTCATTAACATCTATTGTTTTTATCACGTCTTGTTTGATTTTCTTTAAGTTATCATTTATATCTTGTTTTAAGCTCTGACGTATAGGTTCTTCTTTTATCTTTGAGACATCAAACCGTGGTATATTTGTTTGTTTTTGGAGAAAAATTTTAAGGAGAAACCACGGGACCAGAAATAATGAAAGAGACAAAAGGCAAAAAAGCTCCAGGACCTGATAAAATACCAATTTAAGTATTGAAGACAATGGATGAAGATAATATTGATGTCTTGGTAGACCTTTTTATCTCCATATACAAGACTGGGCACATAACCAAAGAATGGCTTCTCTCAACTTTTGTAACGATTTCAAAAATCACAAATGCTAAAGATTGCAATGACTATCGGACAATTGCATTAATGAGGCACACATTGAAAACCTTCTTTAAAATCGTACATAACAGAATCCATATGAAATTAGAACAAGAAATAAGTGATTCACAGATGGGTTTTAGAAAGGGTCTAGGAACTAGAGAAGCATTATTAGGAGTAAATGTTCTGACACAACGATGTCTGGATATGAATCAGGACATATATGCTTGCTTCATAGATTTAAAAAAAGCTTTTGACAGAGTTCAACATGAAAAGCTTTTAAGTATTCTTAAGACCATAAATATAGATAGTAAAGATCTACAAATTATATCAAATCTGTATTAAAACCAGAAAGCAAGAATGAGAGTCGAAGTAGAACTGACAGAGGAAGTAAGTATACTTAGAGGAGTTCGACAAGGGTGCATAGTTTCACCACTCTCATTCAACGTCTACAGTGAAGTAATATTTCAAGAAGCTTTATTGAATATTGTGGAAGGTATTTTGGTCAACGGAAATAGCATTAATAATATTGGATATGCGGACGATACGGTCATATTTGCAAGTGACATGGAAGATCTACAGTACATAATATAACATGTATACAATGCATGTGAAAGCTACGGACTGCAAATGAATCTCAAGAAAACGAAATCAATGATATTCTCAAAAAAAAACCACAAAATGTAGATAACCTGTTCATCAATAATACAACGATCGAAAGAGTAACAACATATAAATATTTAGGAACGTGGCTAACCGAAGATGGAGATCAAACAAAAGAAATCAGATCTAGAAAAGAAATGGCAAGAAACACGTTCATAAAATTGAAGAACTTACTTTGCAATCGTAATCTTAATCTAGAGATCCGCACAAGAATGCCACGTTGTTACGTTTTTTCTACTTTAGTATACGGCACGGAAGCGTGGACAATAAAACAGTCTGAAATCAAAAAATTTAACTCCTTTAAAATGTGGTGCTACTGGAGAATCCATAGAATATCGTGGACTGAAAAAGTAACTAATATAGAGGTGTTGTAAAGAATAAAGAAAGAATGTGAAGTCATAAAAACTGTTAAAATTAGGAAGATTCAATATCTGGGTTATATAATGAGGGACGAAAAGTACATATTACTTAGGTTAATTATGCAAGGGAAGAGAAACCCAGGACGGCGCAAAATATCCTGGCTAAGAAATTTGAGAGAGTGGTTCGGTTGCAGCCAGCTCATTGGAATTATTCAGAAGCGCAGCCAATAACATTAAAATATCGATGATGATTTCCAACCTCCGATAGGAGAAGGAAACTGAAGAAGAAGAAATGTATGGTGGTAGTAAATCACACATATCCCGTTTTTTGGTTGACATGACTGGTTGAGGTGGTGTATACAGGCAATCCAGTTGATGATTTTTCAACAATGTTGGTCTTCCCTTCTGCTTGCTTCGAAGAATATTAATTTGTAAAAAGTAAAAATCTTCTTTCAGTGTTTCTTTATAGAACAGAAAAAATGGCTTATTTTTTTACTCTAATCCACTGCATTTTTAACCATGACACTGATTGGGTATCCGTATTGCTTTTTTTTGTAATTGATTAAGTGATTGTTTTAGATCATTAAAGTTTTCTCTAAGTATTTTTGTGAAAATGAAAGCGGTTTTTCTTTCTACAGTCAACTATGACTAAAAACCAATATTCAGGCATATAAATCTGTTTACCTTTAAAGTAAGTTTTAATTAAATCAAAGTCTGAGTTATTTGGTAATAGTTTTTGCTTACCATAAACTTAGGATCAACTCTTTAGATTATTATTTTCATCTTGAACTAACTGTAAGAAGGCCAAGGCATAATTCCAGTTTCTATTTAGGTCGGTGCAGCTGTCACTGTACAATACAACATGTTTTGAATTTGCTGCACGTAATTCTATGTACTTTGTAATAGAGGTACTGATTTCCTGAGATCGTCTCAAAGCTGTTCTTTCATCCCATCCATTAATGTAGCCTAAGCCAGATGATAGCTCATGGCAGCCCAAGTTGGAAATGTGCATATTACGTTTAAAGTATGTGAAAGATGTGGTTAGTTTCTGAAAACTAGGGCTTTCTCTAGATAAAAAGTAAATGCCTAGTAAGAATCGTCAGTCTGGGCCTCTTCTGTCTCATTTTTCATAGAAGTACGTACAAGCTCGTCAACATGGAAGGCGACCTGCTGATATACTCTGGTGAAACAGATGGTGGAAGACATGAAAATGGAGTAGGAATTCTATTTAGTAAAGTCACAAAAAATTCTCTTGTGAAATGGAAACCAGTTTCCGAGCGAATAATCACTGCAAGAATTAGGACCAAATTAAGACTGGTAACACTGATTCAGTGCTATGCACCAACAAAACAAGCAACAGAACAAGAAAAAGAGGATTTCTACGAATGCCCTGAAGCAACATTAGAACAAATTAAAAGATCTGATATAAAAATAATGATGGGAGACTTCAATGCCAAGGTTGGCACTGACAACACCAACCTAGGACACGTTATCGGAAAGCATGGCACTGGCCAGAGAAACAACAACGGCGAACGCTTCATTGAATTATGTGGTAACCATGACCTAATCATTGGAGGAACTTTGTTCCCACATAAAACAATCCACAAGGTATCATGGAAATCGCCAGATAACCGCACCTATAATCAAATCGACCACGTTGCAATCAGTAAGCAATGGAGAACATCTCTCTTAGATGTCAAATCATGGAGAGGCGCAGATGCGGCCAGTGATCACTACCTGATGATAGTCGAAATTAGATTCAAAATAGCTAGGAATAGAAAAGAACTGAACAAACCTATTTGAAAAAAGTTCAACATTGAGAAACTACAAAATAACGAGACGAAAGTAGAATTCGCACGACAGCTGAGATCCAAAATCGACGAAAGACAGGACAAAAATTGGGAAACGATTAGCAAAGCCCTTGTGGTAACAAGTGAAAACGTGCTGGGCCTAAAGAAAGACGTAAAGAAAGAGTGGATTACGAGAGAAACGTGGAACAAAATAGAACGTCGCGAACACATTAATCTAGAATTACTAAATTCCAAGACAGCAGCAGAGAAGAACCGACTTAGAGAAAGTTATAGAGAAGTGAATAAAGCTGTCAAGAAGGCAGCAAAGAAAGACAAAAGAAAGTGGGCAGAAAATCTTGCCGAAGAAGCGCGAGTCGCCGATGACCATCAAAACATGAGACAATTATATAATATCACTAAACAACTAGCCAATAAAAGATATACTACCCACCAACCAATTGTAAAAAGTGCTACAGGTGAAGATATTACCGCGCCACAGGAACAAGTCAAAAGATGGCATGAATATTTTAGCGAATCTCGAAGTGCAGTCCCAACACCACCAGAAGACGCAGAAAACCTAAAAACCTAATACCCAATATCCAACTGAGAATTAACACCAACGAACCAACAACGCAAGAAATAGAAATGGCTATAGAAAAACTGAAAGCACACAAAGCAGCCGGCCCTGACAATATTCCACCAGAGTTGTTAAAAGCTTGCCCAGGTACAGTGGCAGAGCTAATCCAACCACTCTTGAAAAGGGCTTGGAGAGAGGAAAAGTTCCCTAAAGAATGGAAAACGGGATTAATAATAAAGATAACAAAAAATGGTGACAGAAGATATTGCGAAAACTGGAGAGGAATCACACTTCTGAATACTATAAATAAATTAACAGCAATAATTATAAACAACCGACTAACAAACAGCGTAGTACCAATGTTGAGGAAGGAACAAGCCGGTTTCAGACCAAACAGATCATGCGTGGACCAAATTAACGTGGACTTCAAGAGAGCTTTTGACACGCTCACACATACGGCCATATGGAAAGCACTGCAGGAAATAGGAATACCAGAAAAAATAGTAAATCTCATCAAAAACTCTACAGTGACACAGAAAGCAAAATCCTACACAACGGCATAACATCTGACCCAATAGCTATGCTAAATGGAGTAAAGCAGGGCTGTGTTTTATCCCCCATACTATTTAACATTGTACTGGACTCCGTACTAACAAAGGTAAACTCTAATAGAGGAATTTACTGGGGATTAACAAACAGACTGGAAGACCTAGATTACGCTGATGATATATGCCTCCTAGCACATACAAAACAGGACATGCAACTTCAAGTAAACAAAGTACAAGAAGAATCAAAGAAGGTTGGTCTAGAAATAAACATCAACAAAACCAAAGAAATGCGATTTGGTACTAGAAACAACCAACCTATTATGATCAACGACCAGAAAATTGAGAGAGTAGCGGAATTTGTATATCTGGGCAGCATAATTGACTGTAATGGGGGTACAGAGAGTGATGTACATGAAAGAATAAATAAGGCTCGCAACGCCTACAACATGCTTAACAACATGTGGAAATCCAGGATTTACCCAACTAAAACGAAATTAAAAATCTTCAACACAAATGTAAAAGCTGTATTGCTGTATGGCTGCGAAACGTGGAAGATATGAGCACCCATAGTACACCAATTACAAGTTTTCATCCATAGAGCGTTACAAAAAATCCTTCGTATATTTTGGCCTAACCGAATCTCCAATGAAAATTTATGGAACCAAAGCAACCAGGAAAATGTCATAAAGCAAATAAGGCGAAGAAAATGGAGATGGCTGGGCCACACACTCCGTAGACCGCCAAATGACATTGCCAGGACAGCGCTGGATTGGAATCCTTAAGGCCGACGGAAAGTAGGCAGACCTAAGGGAACTTGGAGAAGGACAGTACTGGACGAAGGGAGAAAAATGGGAAAATCCTGGCTTGAAATCAAAGCACTAGCACAGAATAATAAACAAACAGAATGCCCACTCTCCACGGAAAATTAAGTACGCGCATCTCCTTCGCGCAGACGTTCCGCCATGTTTTACGAGGATTTTAAAGGGAACCAGTGTTGTTTATGTGGTGTGCATGGAAAAAAAACCAGGTTTATTTGACTTACGGCAATCATAGACATACTATACAATTATATTAACAGTTTTAAATATAATAACATACATATAATATAATTAAACATAAATGTAAACAATTGCATAACCTCACAAATCATATGTTTGTGTCCTCCTAAAACATGGCGCTCGGGCTGAAAAACTTCAAAGGCGGCATCTGAGAGTGGCCCTTCTGATTGTTTATTATTCTGTGGCACTAGCCAGAAATAGAGTTCGCTGGAGACACTTTGTGGAAGCACTATGTTCCTCTTAGGAATCTTGGGACTATATATACGTACAAGCTCGGTCTTTCTAAGATTAAATTCGTACTATACTTTACTCTCTCTTATCTCATTATCATCTGTTATTGCAGTTTTTTATTTGTAAGCATTACACTTAGAGCAAGTATATTTTTGTGGTACATGAAAATGAAGGTTGTACACGTTATTGAATGTACAGCGTTCCTAAAAGTACTCACTGTACAAGCGATACAGAAGGATAACATTAAGGTCAGAAAATAGATACCTACGATTGGGATTCTTATTCCTTGTATAGTGGGATTGGTAAGATGAAACATTTTTAATGTTTCCGGACACAGTTAATACGTTCGTCAGATATTTTATTGGTTAGTATATCATGGCCTCGATTATCTAAACCAGGTGGTTTCCCTTGTTTAACTTATTAATGATCCGTGTCATTCGTCCATCAGATATCTGAAAGGTTCCAAGAAAGTATTTTTTACATACTTTTATGAGGTCTTAACTGATCCCTAGGACGTCTTACTTTAGGTTTCTTTTAATTAATCAAATCACAAATAAAAGCATTATGTCTGGTAAATGATTTCAATTTCCAGAAAAAGTATTTTTTATTGCAAAAACCGTTGTTGTTTGAAAGAGTTTTAGCCGACACTACTATTCTTTTTGTTGTCTTATACTAACAACCTGAGTTACAAAGCCACTTTCTTTTTATTTTAATGCCTCTGCCATTTTCATGCTCTCTTGGGTTGTTAAACTTCTTCTCTACTATTTTTCCTTTCATGGTCTTAGGGAGAGACTTCCTATTTTGATTCACATTCTGAAACAAACCAACTATATTAAAATATCACTTAGAAACGAAGTTCTATTTATAGGAGTTTATTATTTATTGTTAATGTAGAGAATTTAACATTTTGAAGTTAGTTTTGATTTTATACAAACAAATGTAATACACAAGTTTAACTTACTGTTAAGACTCAGAAGGTATCCACTCATCTCCTGAGTAAGCGAAAATACTAGGCTCATTATTCAAATTACTTAAACTGTCGTCTCCATTATATTGAAAAATCACAAGACACAAAATACTAAATAACTGCCTTAGGAATAAAGAAATGGTGGTATAAGTCTGACTTGCACCTACTACTACAGCGGTTTTGTTTTACTGTCAAGTTTGTGCTGCTATCTGTGAGCAAATAGAAGAGGTATGACTACACCACTGTTACTTCTGATAGATTTAAAAAGTGACTTATACTACTTTTCCTTTCACCGCCTCATATATAAAGCGTACATCTATATTAAAATAGATTTACGTTGTAATTATAAACATAATTAATAAACAATTTTTTTTATTTTTCATTAAGAATATTTCCTAAATGTAGTTTGATTTTCAGTTATACTACAATAATTATACCACCGATGGACTCCAGCTCTTAAAACTGCCCAACTGTGAGGAGTTTTGTCCAATAGATAAATTTGAAAGTATCTTCGAAGAATATCTACCATCGTCAACGGATCTATGTTATAATTAATTTATACTGTTGTTGTTTTCTTGTAAAAAACATAAAAACTATAAAATAAAAAAAATAACAGTCAAAAGTGTAATTATTTACAATTTTTATAATTTTTTAGAATTTATTTATAGAAATATATTTAACGTGCTACTCATAATATTGTCAAAACCCAACGAATCATGTTCATTTTCTTTGCGTTTATTCCTGTGCGGGGTCAGCTGCCTTAATTACATTTCTCCATAAATTTCTATCTTTAGTCATGCCAATGTCAATCTCCTTTACCGACATAATAATCAAATATACCCATCCTTAATTTTATCATTTTTGCCACTCCATTCATTCATGAATTTACGAAATTGTATATCCACAAAGAAAATAAAACTACTGTAGTTGGCTAATAAATCACAACAGTTTTATTAAAAAATCCTTTATAACACTATAATTAAAAAGATCCTTTCAGGCTACATCACAACAAAACGTTTTTGGACTAAAAAGTCCATCATCAGTGCATTTACCTGAAATAAGTACTACTGCTTAGATGGATGCAAATGTAAAAGTAAAATTTTGATTAAGTTTAAACAAGTAATGTGATAAAATACTCACCAGGTGTACATGAGTCAAGCCACTAAACATTTAGGCCTTTTTCTTCTTCAAGTAACGAAGTATTTTTATAATATCCTGTTGTAGTACAGTATCAATGTCAAGATTTATTGGCCATACAAATTTGTTTCTTTGTGGTCGTGTAAATTTAACTATCCACTCATCTATTCATATGTTATGATACAATTCCCACGTAATGCTTGTTTATCTTCTTTGGCAATATTTTACCAATAACCAACATCCGACATATACATTCACACTTTTTGTTGAATTTAAATTCTCTTTGTCTTCCTCGTCATCATTTGCAGCTATTTTTACCTCTGGCTCTGATTCCAAAAGTGTATCAAGAAATTCGTCATTTATATTGACAATTTAGACATACATTATGCATTTTAAAGTAGACGACTTTAAAATGATATTGCCAATATTGTTGAGTTGCGCTCCTGGGACGACTTTACTTATAAGATAGTTCAATCGATTACATGAAATCAACTTTAACTTGAGAATATCCGTCAGAAAAAAAAAACATAGTATGTAATTCGTCTTTAAAAAGACAAACACATGACATGATGACAGTAAAATTCTCCTGTTAGTGATTCCATAGGAAATTATAAGGGGAAAAACCAGGAAAAAAACCTCATAATACTATCCCGACATGGTAAGTATTTATTCGTGCATTTAGTTTACCTTCAATAAACACCAAAATTCTGATTTTATATGTTTCGTTATTTAAAAAACATAAATGATGTATCATCTATATGTTACTGACTTACTAATACTGGTATTTTCTTATTAATAACTTCCACTTTCAATATTGGTAACCAGATCCTACTACATTCTGCCGAGGAATTTGCGACACAATTGGTCTCATTTAGCATAATTAGAGCCGCTTCTTTGATGTTTCTTTTTTTACCATCCGTTTCTTTTAGGACTACAATTGAATTATTCAAATATTGAATTTATTTTAAATAATACTTTGGTAAGTTTTGACATAAAAAGTTTATTTACGAATGGGCCATTAAATAAGACTTTAAGTATAGTCAAGACAAAATTAGAGAGTGATGATTCATTGACAACTAGAACAATACTAAGCATATCGGCTATAATGGAGTGATTAACATTATGTACTGATAATACATATTTTCAACTAAATAATGAATTCTATAAACAAAGTTTTGGTCTAGCAATGGGCTCTAGTTTATCTCCATTCTTAGCCGATATATTTATGGAAGATTTTGAAACAAATATCATTTCTAAACAAAATTTAAAACACAGTATGGTGGAGGTATGTAGATGATGTATTCTCAATATGACCTCATGGATCAGAGTTGTTGGACACATTCCTAAATGATATAAACGATAAAGAAGAGACAATAACATTTACTATGGAAAAGGAATATAATAACACGCTACCTTTCCTGGATGTTTTAATCTCTAAGAACGATACTGGATATGAGACTCAGGTGTATAGAAAACCAACACACACCAATAGATATTTAAATTTCAAATCAAATGAAATCACAATATGAATGTAAAAAAGGAATAATTAAATCCTTATACGATAGAGCCAAAATTACTTGTTCTAACGAAAATTCGTTCTTGGAGGAGAAACATTTGTTAACATCTGTTTTATTAAAAAATGATTATCCTTTATTGTTTATAAATAAGGAATTTTGAACAATCGATCGAATAGAACAGAACAACTTAGAACGAGATCCTACAGCATCCACAAGGAATAATACGAGGAAAATAACAATACCGTACATAAAAGGATTGTCAGAAAAACTTAAAAGGATAGGAAATAAAGTCAGTTTTATTTAGGTGAAACATCAAGGCTATTAAATGTTAGAATAAGTGAACATCAATCTTATATTAAAAATAGAGAATTTGATAGATCTCAAATATGTAAACACGCATGGGAAAATGAACATAGGGTTCAATGGAATAATATAAATGTAGTCGTAAAAGAAACGGATGGTAAAAAAAGAAAAATCAAAGAAGCGGCTCTAATTATGCTAAATGAGGCCAATTGTGTCGCAAATTCCTCGGCAGAATGTAGTAGGATCTGGTTACCAATATTAAAAGAGGAAGTTATTAATAAGAAAATACCAGTATTAGTAAGTCAGTAACATATAGAGGACACATCATTTATGTTTTTTAAATAACGAAATATATAAAATCAGAATTTTGGTGTTTATTGAAGGTAAACTAAATGCACGAACAAATACTTACCATGTCGGGATAGTATTATGAGGTTTTTTTCCTGGTTTTTCCCTCATAATTTACTATGAAATCACTAACAGGAGAATTTTACTGTCATCATATTATGTGTTTGTCTTTTTAAAGACGAATTACATGCTATGATTTTTTTTCTGGCGGTTATTCTCAAGTTAAAGTTGATTTCATGTAATCGAATGAACTATCTTATAAGAAAAGTCGTCCCAGGAGCGCAACTCAACAATATTGGCAATATCACTTTAAAGTCGTCTACTTTAAAATGCATAATGTATGTCTGAATTGTCAATATAAATGAGTCAGATAAAATTAAATTATTAGAAGAATTTTTCACTATGTAACAAAAAATAAAATTTGTTTAATTTACTGTTTGTATTTTGAGAACGATTTCCGAAGTGAAAATTGAAACGTCAATAAACGTATTTTTATCTTTAATTGTGGCTTATTCCCAGTTAAATAGTAATTAACATATTTCAGGTTCCGTCTAATAATTAGCACACTCGTAATTATTTAAGTAGCCATTTTCAAATTCACTATTACAATTGCCCCATTATCACATATACCCCACTTCACCTTATAAACCTTATATCCCTTTAGTAGTTTTATTATTTAAAAATTCGTTTGCTGATGTGAAATTAATAAATTCAATCGCAATCCTATTTAAGCCTTTATTTATTTCTTCATTATTTTCTTACTTACTTACGTCATATTTTTTTAATGTATTTTAAATTTAAGTTAAAGATAACACGAAAAATTTTAATTCCATTAGAAGAACCATATTTAAATCCTGATCCATAAAAGTTTTGTTTTTTTTTTTGTTTTGATATTTCGGCCGGTTACTAAAGTCAAAACGGTAAATAAAAATAAACTCAAACATTGCGTTTAACATGTGAATGTAATAAATATTGCATAAAAAGTACGTAGGTAGGAAGTCCGTCTCATATTTTCCTAATAATGGCCACAAAAACATCAACGGTAACTGCTAGCCAATTGATGTCTGCATTTTAAGATATTTTTTCGAACGAAATGTGAAAAATGTTTCCCGCGAATCGGAGACAGTGGCAATAAACTGGAAAGACAAGCTACGAGATAGACTAGCCGTTAATCAGATACGAATTTATTAGATCATTCCGCAGCATTTTCCGTTCACAAAAGAATCTCATAAATCTTTAAATCAGCCGCTGCACGTTGTTATAGAATTCCATTAGATTGTGTTGCGATTAGAAATTCTAGTACTATTATTATGATTTTTTCGTTGAACACGTGCTTGACTATAAATAGTAATGGATTTCTATTTTTTCATATTGAAAATATCAAGAGCAATCAATTATAATTGCCTTTATTAATTATTACACTAAGAAAATAAGTCAAAATAACGACAAAAATCGGATGAATAAAAGTTTTGTGATGTGGCAACCTAAATATAGCGAAAAACGGTTTTGATGTTTATTGCAGTCCGTCTTTTTATCAAATCTCAATGGCAATAAGAAAGAACACATTTTTTCACAGAAGTTTCTCATGACATATGCAATAATAAATCAATTTAGTAGTATTGAGTAATAATGAAGAAGAATTTGTAGCTACAAGTTCCGAGATTTCAGAGTATGAAATTTTTGAAACTAAGAATGGAATTAACTGAAAGAGTCAACCACAACCGACAGGACGTATGTGATCCTGCGACACAATAAAAAGTAAAGTGCACAAAGTAATGTTAGCCCCTGGTCAAAGTGTAGATGATTCTGTTGATTCCTTTTGTTTGTTTGTGGACGAAAAAATTGTGAACGAAATAGTGAAGTGTACCGGGTGGTCCAATAAGCCGATCACTCGGCTATATATCAGAAACTATTCATGTTATAACTTTAGGAGAAAAAAATCCTTAGTAAAAGTGGCCAAGAGAAATCGCTGGAAATAACTTTCAAGATTCTGGATTAACCGCTAGGGGCGTAACCTGCGAAGAAAATTTTGAAAACCAGTTTTTTGGGAAATATGTCCAATTATACCAAGTGTTAAATAAGTAAACTAGAAAGAGGCATAAATTCTGCACAAAGTTGTTCGAGTACTTTTTTTTTATTTTTTCAAATAAAGGGTAGAGGAGAGTGAGAAAGTATTTGTGGATAAATACCTATAACTTTGGTTTGGATCAACCGATTTTAACAAAATTAGTGTCATTAGAAAGAGTATGGATGAATTAATTCACATCTACTATAAAATAATTGCATTTAGTTTTCATAGTCGTAGGTAGCGGGTACT